GTTTTTAATTTATAACTTATGCTTGCAATATGTGATAAGGAAGTTGTTTATTTGAGCATTTTGAACTATTTATTCCTGTGGATTGGAATGAATGATAATTGGAGATTAGAGTTTTTATTTATGGAGTTTAATCCGAAAATTAGGGGAATTGATGCTCTTCCTATTTTTCCTTGTGATTGTTATATGGTACTAAGTTAGATTGGTTGAAAATAATTTATATTGTGGTTGAGTTCTTAGTTTGGATGAATATGAAGATTGTAAGAAAATGAGTTTTTGATGAAATATAGGTATTTAGTTAATAGAAATTTGAAATGTAGAATGTGGATGTTTATTGACATGAAAATCTTGTTGAATCTCACCGGGGCAGTTGGGAAAAGTCGGTATTAGCGAGTTGAGAAATTGAGTCACTCGTAATGTAGTGAATTTATGTTTAAGTTGGCCTAATGAGATGAAAATATTAAGTCTCAACTTATCGCTTATTGAGGGACTTATATATGTTAGTTTGATGCTAAGTATGAGTTGTTATTGAGAAATCCCTTATAACTTTATAAGGATGGATTTGAAGTGGTTTGTGTGTAATCATTTCAGGAGGGGACTTGAACAGCATACCAGCCCCGTTAGTTTAGCCTATATCTGTGAGTGGAGAACATATTTTTACAAAAGGAAGATTTTTAAATTTATAAGCTTATAATCATATTTACTTAATATGAATGTTTGAGTGATTCCCAATTTTTAGAGAAGTATATTAGTTACATGAAATGTCTTATTTTTGAGAAAATAGAAAATGAACATGATTATTTTGAGACCATTAGAAAATACCCGATGTAATTATCTTACTCTAGTGCACTGAGGGGCTACGGCCGTGTACAAGAGTCATGTATGTGACTCCTATACACTGAGGGGCTACAGTCTTGTATAAAGGTGACTCTTATCCACTGAGGGGCTACGGTCGTATGTAAGTACCTATTATGTACTGAAAGGCTACAACCGTGTATGAGGATGATTATGTTATTTCTACTTCATGCACTGAGGGGCTACAGCCGTGTATAAAAGTGACTCTTATCCACTGAGGGGCTACAGTGGTGTGTAAAGGTACCTATTATGCATTGAGGGGCTACAGCCGTGCATACAGATCATTATGTTTATTCCCACTTCGTGCACTAAGAGGCTACGGCCGTGTATAGAAGTGTTGATTAGACATTTATGTGCATATGACTTTATAGC